AAACTACATGTGTTTGTCTGTCTTCTGTTTTCTTGCTTTGTTTCCCATTGTTTATTATCCAGCCACAATGCTCTCTCAGATTAGTACTTAGCACTGCGGCTCTTGCATTCGCTTCCATCCAAAGTGGTTCTATTGTGTATGTACTGGGTACGGCCAAAGATGGGGCTTAAAGTGACATTAAAGCCTTGTGTGTTTTTGCATATATGTACTGCTAGCAAGCAATAGATATATGCAATAACATTTTTAAAAAAAAGTTTACAAAGGGTTATTACTTACCTGTGTCTCCCATCCGAGGATCTGAAAACTCTCAGGCGGCCGCAAAGGATCATGGGGCGGGCGCATGCGCAGTACAGATCTTCGGCCGGGAGACAAGGAGAGACACAGGGTAAGTCAATGCAGCAGCGTGCACCCACACAGACTCCGTGAGACAGGAGTCAGCGCTGGATCAGGGACCGGCACCAGCGCTGGAGGGACTCCTGAAAACTACAGGAAAGAAGAAGGTGATTGGGTCAAGAGGCAACATTTAAGGTAAGTCCTTACAGTAGCATTTTGGGGGGGGGGGATATTATCCTTTATTGTCACTAAGATTTTAAGAGTAAGGCCTGATATGTAAATGGTTAATTGAACGGGTAGCCAAACCTTGGCACTTTTAAGTTTTGGTGAAACTACAAATCCCAGCATGCCTATGCCCCTGGGAGTCATACGTGTGGCTGCCACAATCTTGCAATACAACAAATGGAGGGCCGGAGTTAAAATAAATGTGCAAGTGTCATCATAGCAGTACCCGTAATGAACTAATGAAGAGCCAAAAACTCAGCCCAACTTATTTTTTTTGGGCCTGCAAAGCTGTACAATGGGTAATTCTGCACTCAGAGATTAGTGGTTGCTCAGCACAAAAAAATCTTTGCCACCTGCCAAATGTACAAGTTTATCGCAATGGAGAAGTGAGGATTTAGGAGCAGGTAGAAGGAGAACTGCTGCAGCCACCATCTTATAGGGAGGAAGTAGTAGCTGTCAGGATACGTTTCCTAATCCGTTCTTTCAGTAATCCCCCACCAGCAAAAGCTGGGTTGGACGATTGTCATCTCAGATCTTCGAACATCTTTAGACTTCTTAATTCATCTGACCTAATAGGCTGGTTAGGAGTGTGAAGCACAATAGAGGGCTTGCTATTTTAACTCCAGCTTGCAATCAGGGTTTATTGGCCTTGGACAGCAGAACTTGGCCAGGCCTGGACAAATCCCAGGAGCCAGGTCGTCAAGTCTTAAAAATGATAGCTGGTGCCCAACTTTATAGGTTTCACGTAGTAGAAAAGTCACTCGAAGAGTAGCACAGGAAGTCACTCGCAATGAGAATTTCACTCAATGTTCTTTATTGACAAAATAATTGTATAGCAACGTTTCGGAACCGTATAGGTCCCTTCTTCAGGCATACAAAGTGTGGGAAGGGACCTATACGGTTCCAAAAACGTTGCTATACGATGTGACAATTCTTTTGTCAATAAAGAACATTGACTGAAATTCTCATTGGAGTGCGAGTGACTTTTCTACTACTACGTGATACTGATCTGCAGAGGCATCAGCTGTCATCTCAGCAACCACCCATTATTTTGGGTTATATCCGGTCAGGAGTGCGATGGGATCTACTTGAACAACTTTATAGGTTTTCTCTAGTTGTTGCCAATGGAGCTGGCTCCTCCAAAATAAATCTTGCTGGCTCCTGGATTGGACAGACTGGCTCCTGAATTCCATATAATTTTGTCCACCTTTTGACTTAACCTGTCAACAGTTTTTATAACTGCGCCAACTATAAGGTGCTATGTGCGAACTAGCCTTGCAGATGTTTAGAAGGGGTTTTAGCACGGTGGGAATCTTCTTTTATTACAGTGTTATAAAAGCTTGACTCTGCTTTTTGCAGCTCTCTGTCTGGCATATGGTAACTCTGTCTTTAATACGAGCCATAGCAGATTGGCTTGTCTGCAATTACAAGGAATTATGGGAAAGAGCAAAAAGCCAAAAGCCAGTCATGATGGTTCAGTAGCTGTTATCACTTGTAGTATAATATTGTTTAGGCCTGTGTCTTCACTTGAAGAACAATGAGAAATTAGTTCTTCTCTGAACTAGAGACTAGTTTGAGTATTGTGTTCCTTTACAGCAGGGGTAGGCAACCTTGGCACTTCAGCTGCAATGAAATGACAAATCCCATCATACCTCTGCCTGTGGTTGTCATGCATGTGGCTGTCAGAGTCTTGCAATGCCTCATGGGACTTGTAGTTGTACAACAGCTGGAGGACCAAAGTTGCCTACCCCTGCTTTACAAGAAAACCCTATTTTCAATCCTGCCCAGGCTGAATATACATATTGCAGCGGTTTTGGCAAACTTAAGTGCAAATTCTTAACTGCGTGGGCTCTGGCGATACTGAGACAGGCCAATTCCATAACTCCTAATGCTAAGTGGGAGGGTCTGTCTACTATAATCAATTGATCAGCCCATGCAGTGTTATAAGGGAAGCATTGCATGCACAACACCTGTGCAGATGTGTTGACAAATTATCACTAAAGATGAAAAGTTTAATGTATTAAACCTAAGGACAGTGCTGGGGATGCCTGAAATGTGACTTCCCCTCTGTACAGATGTATCGGAAATACAGTGAGCCAGTCACAGGAATTGAGATCTTTGGGGGTGTTATGTGCACACCAATCAGCTGCTGTGTTTGCAAGGAAATTACATTTTTATATTTTTGGCAGATATAGAAAATCTCAGCAGTTGCAGAATGAGATAAAAAGGTTATTACTAGTATTATTGGCTTGCAGGCTGCTCTGGGATCAGTTGCTCTGCTTTGCTACACACCGCTGAACATTGCACCATGCTATTAAATCAATCCCTGCATCACCCCTAAATCAAGGACACCCCGTGCCACAGCCATCTGGACTCTGTACTAAATCTAACTTATAACTGATCAGAGCATCCCCTGACGTCATTGTCCACGTGTGTTACTATAGAAACGATCATTTCCTCTTCCAGTCTCATAAAATTGTCTTTTCAACAGTAAACTGCTTTGCTTGATATTCATCCCCGATATCTTTCCTTTATATTGAACCTCAATCAATGGCTTGAAATCTACTGATGTACTTTAAGGAGTCTCTATCTTATGTCTCTATCTTATTCACTCCCACTGCTAATTTCACTTGTACAATTATAATTGCATCACGGAGCTTAGAGACAGTATCAGATCTACTCTTCTAGCTGCCTGACATCGCTTCTCTGACTTGAGATGTAATTGTGGATTCGTCAGATCATTATATCATGCTGCGTGCCTAGGTGAGGGCACCAGGAAAAACCGACATAAATATATCAGCCAAGTCAAGCTCTCTGCAAATCCGGAAAACCTGGGAAGAACTGCAAAGCCAGCTCTTTCCCAGTAAATGTTTGTGCTTTTTGGAACTGCTCAGCACCCCTGGCTGAAAAGTCCTGGGTGACTATATTGCCAAAAGACACCCTGGCATTACCACGCACTGCCACACCACCCACACATGCACATTCAGTTTTTGTCATTGTCGAAAGTCTACTGAAGGGGTATCCTGTAGCAGTGAAAGTTCAGGTTGTCAGAGCTGATGTATGTGAGTGAGTCCTTTGCACCAGGAGACCCTAAATAAATCCTTACCTAGGTAGGTATAAGACTGAACAAAGATTTCTCAGGAACCCAGCCATGCCATTGGCTCTTTATAGCAAGGGTGTGTTAGGACTGTTATAACTGCAACTGACTTTTCAGACACTGTTGGGTGAAATGAGAAGTATAAAGTGAAGTTTATGGGTAATTTACAGTTTTTCTGGCCTCCTAGTAGGAAGAGCTTCAGGTATACAGAAAGAGCCAGGTCTCTTGTACTCCGGGTACTCTCGTACTACCATGACTACTTATGGAGGAAGGATCCAGCTTTGTAAATGTAGCCTCATGAGACAGCAGTCCGTATCTCAGGTGTATCGGCAGTCATGTTTGCATAATGTAGATGTTGTTTATTGCCAGCTCTCTCTAGATTGCTCTCTCAGACACTCACATTTCAAGGGGGAATTCTGCAAATGGGATGTAATGAGCCGAATTTCTCGTGTAAGAGCCGGAAATTTCTTCCACGCTGACCTTGCAAACACAAACCTTTTACTGGAAGAGCAGACGCTGAATCGGATCTTGAAATCGTGTTATTGCTGAGCAGACAGAAAGGGGTTAAAGTAATGGGATGCTCTAAATTCATTCTTAAAAATGAAATTAACATTTATTTATATCCAATACAAGCAATTCAATGTTATAGGAACACTATTATTATAATACAGTTATTGCCAGAGAGCGTGCAATAAGAATTACAGTGTAGCCGTGTCTGACAACCAGGGGGCCTCTAGCAGATATCAGACAACTTTTCTGATCATTGCCCTTCATGGTGAATGCTGGGACTTGTAGTTTTTTGGCAGTTCTACAGGTTGCACTAAATGAAACATGAGTGACAGGAGTCTGTTAGTATGTAGCTTTTAGTGTATTTTCTTCTAGATTAGATATATTGTGACAAGGAATCAAGCTGTGCATAACACAGCTCTGACATATACACACAACATATAAACATGTAAACATAACATAAACATATAAACGTAACATAAACATGTAAACGTAACATAAACGTAAAGTAAACATATAAACGTAACGTAAACATATAAACGCCATATAAACGTAAAAATTTAAATGTAACGTAAACATATAAACGTAACACAAACATATAAACGTAACGTAAACATGTAAACGTAGCGTAAACATATAAACGTACACATTTAAATGTAACGTAAACATATAAACGTAACGTAAATGTAACGTAAACATATAAACGTAACGTAAACATATAAACGTAACGTCAACGTAACGTAAACATATAAACGTAAGATAAACATATAGACGTAACATATACATATAAACGTAACATAAACATATAAACATAACATAAACATATAAACGTAAGATAAACATATAGATGTAACATATACATATAAACGTAACATAAACATATAAACGTAACATAAACATACAAAAAACGTAACATAAAACGGAGATAAAAATCTTGTTTTTTCTGTAAATGATGGTTTGGGTTATAGTCAATAGCTCCGTTGTACTGAGGATTGTTGTGCCATGAACACTTGGAGACACTGAATAAAAAAGGTTCCGTCATCTCATTCCAGTTCCATGAGAAGGAGGAAGAGGAGCTGAATGAAAAGAGTGAAAATGATTCCGGGATCAACGAGGAGCCTTTGTTAACGGCAGACCAGGTAACGAGCTGATACTTCCTCTGAAAACATAAAACTTGCCGCTCTCTCAAATCTGAAGAAAAGGAGAATATTTTATGTATCCACCCAACAATTCTAACATTTTTCACTGACTGACTCCCATCAGTACAATGGAAGCCAGCCGATGTGGACAAATCAGATACTTTTCCTTGCGCTTGTTTTTAAACTGAAGCCCTATTCTCCTTAGAAGAATGTTCAGCCCTTTCAATTATTTTTTATATATAGTATTAGTAAAAAAAGAAAAGAAATTGGCTTGATGTGAACAGTGTTCTCAATGTGTGTGAATGTTTTAGAAAACCTTTTTATTTATAGATTGTGTGAATATATGTACATGGGGCACCCGTATTTGCTATGACATACACAGGCTTTGCTTTCTGCTTTGCAGTGCTGCACAATGGTTGTGCTTTACTGGTCCCTCCCACAATGCCAGTCTTTGAGCTGGCTGACCTATTGAAAACAATACACCGTCTGTGTGGCTGATGGCTTATCTCAATGTTAAGGAGGGAGGGTGAATGAGGCTGAAGAGAGCACCCTCTAGTGCCCTGGTGCAAAACCTGTAGCCCTGGGGCAGCATGCAGCCCATTGACACTGATTGTGTGGCCCTCAGGGCCCGTGCAGTAGACTCTATGTTGTTTAAGTGCTTACTCAGGCCTGTGAAGGAAAGACAATTCTTTAGACTGAGTTCTAGGAGTTAAAGGATTTGGTTTATTTCTTTTGCACTAGCTTACTTTTCTTTACATGTTTGTTTTTTTTTTCTCTGATTCTTAAAAAAAAAGATCTCTCCAAGATAAATATCAGTGTGGCACATGTAATTGTTAAGGGGGCTGAAGTGAGACCAAACGTGGGCGTCTTGGTTTGTAAGGGGTTTCTAACAGCAATGATCTCTAGCACTCACATGTAACGTGACTCCGGTCTGTGGCTGGTGTGTATAATGTCTATTGAGAGCGCCAAACAGTCTGAGGCTGCGTTCACACCTGACCGTTTTGTAGCGCGTCCTACGCTCGACGAACGCGCTACAAAACGGTCAAAAAAATAAATAGCATTGTAGTCAATGCCCTCGTTCCCACCTAGGCGTATTTCCGCCCGTCCCTAGCGCCTTACAAAACGGCCCACGCCTGAAAAGGTCCCGGGACTACTTTGGGCCGTTTTGTAGGGCGTTTTCCATTGGGATACAGCCAAGTAGCCTTTGGAATCGCGGTAAAAAAAACGGGTGACGGTCGCGCGACAGACGCGCATATTACAATACGCCTAGGTGTGAATGGGGCCTGAGAGTCCAGAGACTTGTATCAATTGTATTGGTTTATAAATGACAACTCAGAACAGGCAATGCATTTTAGGGGCTCAAAGACCTCACCTCTACTTACTCCAGTCTATGGCTGTCTAATATACTGTAGCGTGACCCCCAGTCTCCAACAATTCCTATATCATGACCCCAGTCTCCAACTATCCCTATAGCATGACCCCAGTCTCCAACAATTCCCATAGCAAGACCCCAGTCTCCAACAATCCCTTTAGCAAGACCCGAGTCTCCAACTATTCCTATAGCATGGCCCCAGTCTCCAACCATTCCTATAGCATGACCCCAGTCTCCAACAATCCCGATAGCATGCCCCCAGTCTCCAACAATCCCGATAGCATGCCCCCAGTCTCCAACAATCCCGATAGCATGCCCCCAGTCTCCAACAATCCCGATAGCATGCCCCCAGTCTCCAACAATCCCGATAGCATGCCCCCAGTCTCCAACAATCCCGATAGCATGCCCCCAGTCTCCAACAATCCCGATAGCATGCCCCCAGTCTCCAACAATCCCGATAGCATGCCCCCAGTCTCCAACAATCCCGATAGCATGCCCCCAGTCTCCAACAATCCCGATAGCATGCCCCCAGTCTCCAACAATCCCGATAGCATGCCCCCAGTCTCCAACAATCCCGATAGCATGCCCCCAGTCTCCAACAATCCCGATAGCATGCCCCCAGTCTCCAACAATCCCGATAGCATGCCCCCAGTCTCCAACAATCCCGATAGCATGCCCCCAGTCTCCAACAATCCCGATAGCATGCCCCCAGTCTCCAACAATCCCGATAGCATGCCCCCAGTCTCCAACAATCCCGATAGCATGCCCCCAGTCTCCAACAATCCCGATAGCATGCCCCCAGTCTCCAACAATCCCGATAGCATGCCCCCAGTCTCCAACAATCCCGATAGCATGCCCCCAGTCTCCAACAATCCCGATAGCATGCCCCCAGTCTCCAACAATCCCGATAGCATGCCCCCAGTCTCCAACAATCCCGATAGCATGCCCCCAGTCTCCAACAATCCCGATAGCATGCCCCCAGTCTCCAACAATCCCGATAGCATGCCCCCAGTCTCCAACAATCCCGATAGCATGCCCCCAGTCTCCAACAATCCCGATAGCATGCCCCCAGTCTCCAACAATCCCGATAGCATGCCCCCAGTCTCCAACAATCCCGATAGCATGCCCCCAGTCTCCAACAATCCCGATAGCATGCCCCCAGTCTCCAACAATCCCGATAGCATGCCCCCAGTCTCCAACAATCCCGATAGCATGCCCCCAGTCTCCAACAATCCCGATAGCATGCCCCCAGTCTCCAACAATCCCGATAGCATGCCCCCAGTCTCCAACAATCCCGATAGCATGCCCCCAGTCTCCAACAATCCCGATAGCATGCCCCCAGTCTCCAACAATCCCGATAGCATGCCCCCAGTCTCCAACAATCCCGATAGCATGCCCCCAGTCTCCAACAATCCCGATAGCATGCCCCCAGTCTCCAACAATCCCGATAGCATGCCCCCAGTCTCCAACAATCCCGATAGCATGCCCCCAGTCTCCAACAATCCCGATAGCATGCCCCCAGTCTCCAACAATCCCGATAGCATGCCCCCAGTCTCCAACAATCCCGATAGCATGCCCCCAGTCTCCAACAATCCCGATAGCATGCCCCCAGTCTCCAACAATCCCGATAGCATGCCCCCAGTCTCCAACAATCCCGATAGCATGCCCCCAGTCTCCAACAATCCCGATAGCATGCCCCCAGTCTCCAACAATCCCGATAGCATGCCCCCAGTCTCCAACAATCCCGATAGCATGCCCCCAGTCTCCAACAATCCCGATAGCATGCCCCCAGTCTCCAACAATCCCGATAGCATGCCCCCAGTCTCCAACAATCCCGATAGCATGCCCCCAGTCTCCAACAATCCCGATAGCATGCCCCCAGTCTCCAACAATCCCGATAGCATGCCCCCAGTCTCCAACAATCCCGATAGCATGCCCCCAGTCTCCAACAATCCCGATAGCATGCCCCCAGTCTCCAACAATCCCGATAGCATGCCCCCAGTCTCCAACAATCCCGATAGCATGCCCCCAGTCTCCAACAATCCCGATAGCATGCCCCCAGTCTCCAACAATCCCGATAGCATGCCCCCAGTCTCCAACAATCCCGATAGCATGCCCCCAGTCTCCAACAATCCCGATAGCATGCCCCCAGTCTCCAACAATCCCGATAGCATGCCCCCAGTCTCCAACAATCCCGATAGCATGCCCCCAGTCTCCAACAATCCCGATAGCATGCCCCCAGTCTCCAACAATCCCGATAGCATGCCCCCAGTCTCCAACAATCCCGATAGCATGCCCCCAGTCTCCAACAATCCCGATAGCATGCCCCCAGTCTCCAACAATCCCGATAGCATGCCCCCAGTCTCCAACAATCCCGATAGCATGCCCCCAGTCTCCAACAATCCCGATAGCATGCCCCCAGTCTCCAACAATCCCGATAGCATGCCCCCAGTCTCCAACAATCCCGATAGCATGCCCCCAGTCTCCAACAATCCCGATAGCATGCCCCCAGTCTCCAACAATCCCGATAGCATGCCCCCAGTCTCCAACAATCCCGATAGCATGCCCCCAGTCTCCAACAATCCCGATAGCATGCCCCCAGTCTCCAACAATCCCGATAGCATGCCCCCAGTCTCCAACAATCCCGATAGCATGCCCCCAGTCTCCAACAATCCCGATAGCATGCCCCCAGTCTCCAACAATCCCGATAGCATGCCCCCAGTCTCCAACAATCCCGATAGCATGCCCCCAGTCTCCAACAATCCCGATAGCATGCCCCCAGTCTCCAACAATCCCGATAGCATGCCCCCAGTCTCCAACAATCCCGATAGCATGCCCCCAGTCTCCAACAATCCCGATAGCATGCCCCCAGTCTCCAACAATCCCGATAGCATGCCCCCAGTCTCCAACAATCCCGATAGCATGCCCCCAGTCTCCAACAATCCCGATAGCATGCCCCCAGTCTCCAACAATCCCGATAGCATGCCCCCAGTCTCCAACAATCCCGATAGCATGCCCCCAGTCTCCAACAATCCCGATAGCATGCCCCCAGTCTCCAACAATCCCGATAGCATGCCCCCAGTCTCCAACAATCCCGATAGCATGCCCCCAGTCTCCAACAATCCCGATAGCATGCCCCCAGTCTCCAACAATCCCGATAGCATGCCCCCAGTCTCCAACAATCCCGATAGCATGCCCCCAGTCTCCAACAATCCCGATAGCATGCCCCCAGTCTCCAACAATCCCGATAGCATGCCCCCAGTCTCCAACAATCCCGATAGCATGCCCCCAGTCTCCAACAATCCCGATAGCATGCCCCCAGTCTCCAACAATCCCGATAGCATGCCCCCAGTCTCCAACAATCCCGATAGCATGCCCCCAGTCTCCAACAATCCCGATAGCATGCCCCCAGTCTCCAACAATCCCGATAGCATGCCCCCAGTCTCCAACAATCCCGATAGCATGCCCCCAGTCTCCAACAATCCCGATAGCATGCCCCCAGTCTCCAACAATCCCGATAGCATGCCCCCAGTCTCCAACAATCCCGATAGCATGCCCCCAGTCTCCAACAATCCCGATAGCATGCCCCCAGTCTCCAACAATCCCGATAGCATGCCCCCAGTCTCCA